ATTGTTTATACACATAGATGGCTACACTTGTACTAAGTATCCAATGAGCCAATTACGAGTACTGCCTGTCTCGCCCATTCACCCTTTTCATCAATTTACGAAAATATTTAACGTTATCCTAATTTGCTGCTGAAAATAACACCATCTATATTTATAGCGCTAGTAAGAATACGTTTTTTCCCGCCAATTCAAGGAAAGGTGAAATCAGGACTAGCAGAGCCATCTATGGACAGAGATATTTCACAAAAATATAAAAAATGAGTACTGCATTCTCCCCATTTTTTGTTCATCCACCACCTTATTTTTCAAACATTCCATCCACCTACAACTACCTCTTCACCAAACCTTATTTTTCAAACATTCCATCCACCTACAACTACCTCTTCACCAAACCTTATTTTTCAAACATTCCATCCACCTACAACTACCTCTTCCCACCAACCTTATTTTTCAAACATTCCAGCCACCTACTACTATCTCCACTTCAGAACTTGGTGAGTCCCATGCCACCAGAATAGATGTTATCCTGCCCCATTTATTCCCCCTCTTTTTACTCCTTTCATTATCATACTATCTTATACTGCTGTATAAGATAGTATGATAATGGTGGCGTCATAATTCCATTTTGTTTTAATTGCTGCTAAGTGATCCCTTATTCTGTTCTGGCTCTATTTTTTAGGTTCCGTATATTGCCTTGGAGATTCTATAGCTCCACCCACTATCCCTCTTCTCACCAGTCATGTTATGCCCCACCCTCTACCCAAAATGAGAAATTATCATTGGCAGAGTCTACATCATAGTTTGCCCCCCTCTGTGGTCCTACCCTTGTCCTCCATATCTCCCTATCCTTCACCCCATACCCCCCCAATCCCTTGCTCATTGTTGTCATGGGGGGGCTTAGGAGATGGAGACTGGGGTCCAATGTAGAGGATCACCCGTACCATGGACCTCAGCCCTTACCTCATCTAATTTTGCATGGTCTTTTCTTCTCCCCTTCTCTTCTCTTCTTCATCCTCCCCTTCTTCTGTCCATTTCCTAAGGTGTGAGGGCCTTGTTGCAAGGATGAAAGGCTGGCTTTGTATCAGTCATGAATGGCCTCTGGGAGTCATGTATGGTGTTCCTTTGGTTAATTATCTAGCCCTTACCCCTTATGGGGACCCTGAGGTAGACTTTCCTCTCCCCATTTATATGAGGCTCATCATGTCCAATATTGAAGATACTTAACCCATTGCCGCCGGGGATGGCATGTACGTACATGCCATGCCCACTGCGAGTCGAATTGTTCGATTGTTTTTACACATAGATGGCTACACTTGTACTAAGTATCCAATGAGCCAATTACGAGTACTGCCTGTCTCGCCCATTCACCCTTTTCATCAATTTACGAAAATATTTAACGTTATCCTAATTTGCTGCTAAAAATAACACCATCTATAGATATTTATAGTAAGAATACGTTTCTTCCCGCCAGTTCAAGGAAAGGTGAAATCAGGACTAGCAGAGCCATCTATGGACAGAGATATTTCACAAAAATATAAAAAATGAGTACTGCATTCTCCCCATTTTTTGTTCATTTTCCCCAGCGGCAATGGGTTAACCCTTAATAGGGGCTTACCCATTCATTAACTAAATTTGATTTCATTGGTTTCCCAACCCTTGCCTCTCCTTTGACCATGGCTTCAACTGATACTAATACCCCTTTCTTGATGTTTGCTGTCAACTCTATCCGTTCAAAATGATCTGCCCAGGTCATTACTCAACTTTCAGAATACACCCCTTCCTCTCTCCCAGCATCTTACTCTCAATCTTCTACTGCACAGTCTTCCTCATTGTCTGCACCAACCCCCCTTATTACTACTATTCATCCTTACTGTATTCCTCTTGACAGTAATACCTCTCTCCATACCACCCCATCCTCCTCTCGCCTTTATCCTGCTTCTGCTTCCACCTCTGCAAACCTTTTAACCCCTTCATGACAGGTGACGCTGAAAGGCGTGCGGCTGTACACCGCGGTGGCGCGCCAAAGTACTGAACTCCTGTGCTCAAAGTTGGCACGTTGTTGTTTGCCAAAGTGTAGATTTTTTTCTTTTCTTTTTTCTTCACCCATCAACATTGGGTTAAGTACTCTTTTTAGCCCTGCCAAGTGGGATCATTTTTTGTAATTCCCCCTACAGCCACATACTCTGACAATACCCTTCTCTTCCAACAATGTCTCCAAAAACAAATAGGTAAAGTTTCCTTTCGCAGTCATTCTGATCGTTCATGCTTTACTTCTGAGTCCCAACCTCGTACACTATCTACCTTACTGACCTCACTGGTGAACCTATTCCTCCCTGATGCAGTGGCAGTCCACTTCTACACTATTCTTCCCAGTGGCCAACAAAGTCCTCCACCAATATTAGCTTCCATAAACATGACCTCTCCCATGAAGTGTCCTTTCCTGTCCAACCATATCGACCTCCTCCCTGTCAATGTCAGAAATGTTGGCGTTTTGGCCACCCAGCCAAACACTTTCCCTCCACAATCCACTGTCCTCTATGTGCCCAACCTGGTCATGGCCATTCAAATTACTGTGCTCAGTCACACATGTGTCCCAATTATGGTGGTTCCCAATATGTATTTTATAGGAGCCACCCTGCCTGCAACCTCAAATCTGTGTTAGCAATTCTCAGTTTCAAACTAGGCCTCACTCTACTTGAGGCCAGGTAAAAAGCAAGCCAACTAGGTTTTTCTCTTTCTACCTATTCGAAATCTGTACTTCACTCCACACCCCTCCCATCTTCTCAAGAAGTGTCAGCATCTCCTGCAGTATCTCTTCCCTCTACCCTGAACCAACCTATCTCTATTACCTCTCTCCCCCAGTCAAAGTCACTCCACCTGTTGCACCAGACAATCTGTTCCACTTCATCTTCTCCTACCACATCCTCTCCTACACCCACCTCTCCCTCTGCTCCTCGGACATCCATTCCCTCTTCTCCACCACATAAGACAACCTTTGTTTCTCAGACCTTCCCACCCAACTCCCCTCCTGAAACTCTTGAAGACATTCAGAAGTTCATAAACATGACTCAAGAGAATGATCCCACCCCCTCATTCACCCTCTAATCCCTTTATTGGCTCTACATTCTGCTGCTATCCATCCTCTTCCTCCTCCTCAAGTTCCCCCTACCCCTCTTCCTCCCACTCACCCAAAAAACACCTCATCCTTGCCTTCTCCATGTGCATCACCATTTCCTCTTTCTTCCACATTATCCTTACTACCCTCACTTAGATGCTCACCTGACTCCCTTAAGTCAAAACAATGCCCTTCTGTGGATCCCTCCCCTCCCAACATTCTTATCGATACTGCACCACCTTCCCATGTTCCCTTATTTTATTATCAGGATTCTTCTCCTACTTCCTCAACTATTGTTTCTCACCTTATTACCATTTGATTATTTCATAATAGCAATTTTCACATTCTCTCTCTTCCTCAGACACATATTCTCCATTTGATCTGATCGCCCTGTACCTTTAACCAAATCCACTTAAGGTACTGCTAATGTTGAGGGTATAATACACAATTAAAATATTATATAAAAACTATATGCAGCTATGAAATCATAGAATAGAATATGTTTAGAGATGATTGAATTTTAGGAAAGGAGTTTTATTTAGTCAAGAGTGGGTACTTTCCCCTCCCTTCATAGCATTTCCCTGCCAATTTCTACTTAGTGTTAGTCAACCCTCCCTTCTCTTCCTTCTTCCTTTATGCCTTTTGTGTATCTTTTCAGCTCTTTCTTTTCCATGAACTTTCTCCACTTTTCAGAGATTTGACTCCGTTTTGAGCAAGGTGCTGGTGGCACAACACTTAGAGTGGCTGGTATCACAGTCACATTTTTATTTCTTTGTGCTATGAAGGTCTTCTGGGACAGTTCCCTTATATGTTTCAAATATTGATGTCTTGTCCTTTTGGAGACATGGTTCACAATAGTAAGAAACTTGAGAAAAGGGAAAAGTGGTGAAGATTGTGTGACACAGATGGTGCACCTTAAGGTCTCTGCTGTCAAAGCATTTCTGAAATTTGTTTGTTCAGAACTCAGTTGCCTAAATGCTCCAGTTAATCAGTTTGGCTAACTTTACCCTCTGAACATTTTACAATGCAAAAGCAGTTCAATCAAAGCATAATAGCCTAAAGTACAGTTCAGGCTGATGTCATGCTTGTGAGTTACACCTGTCCCTTTAAATCCCTTGTAATAGGCATTATAGTAGAGAGATGACATTTTTATTATATCTAGGTTATTTTATTGTGCATTTACCATGCAGATACACAGGAATTGTTTTTGGGATAAAAATTTAATTTTTAACCTGTACTCGACATTAGCAGTATGTAAAACCCATCTTGGAGGACTTTACCTCCAAAGTGATACCTTTACCTCCAAAGACAGAGCCAAACAAGCAAATTACTGTTTAGCACATATAATAGGTGGCATGAATAATTACCACTCAGCATATGGGCTCAATATTATAGGAGTAAGAGCAGGCATATGGCATTAATTAGTTAATGTTGTCTCATATAGGTAAATGATTGTCTCTTACATCCTGTCATCTAAACCAAGATTCAAAATGAATTGAAGAATGCACATTGGCATCAGCATGTTAAAATCTCTTAATTGCACTCCATCACTCTACATTTGTTTGTCACTTATCAAGTATTGTTGCTAAACATCTTTTTAAAAACTTGAACACTAACATATGTTAGTGTTCAAAGGTAATCTTATTTTCCTACTTTCAAATTTTTCTTCTTCAAGAAACAACTTTTAAAAGAACATGGTTCTAATAAATTATATACCATAGGCTTGGATTCACTGTTACACTTACAATGCAGCAGATTACTTGAAGAAAAGCCTTTGTAATGATTTTTCAAAACTTCTACTTTTTTGCAGATGTTTGAAACCAGTTGCTGACCAAATAAGAGATTTTGGTTAAACTGATTGTTCTATACTTTTACTTTTTTGCAGACTATTTGAAACCAGTTGCTGACCAGATAGAGAGTGTGGCTAAACTGAGTATCAAATCTCAGGTGTTGTACATGACAGGACTAAATGTGTCACCACAGTGGTCAGAATCATACATGCATTATGCCTTACCACAAGATCAGCTGCCTCTCACCATAAATGCTATTGAAGCTAAACTCGGTATGTGGCTGTTATTGTACAGTGATTGCCTAAAATTGTAGAAGAGTATAGCATTAGATGTATTCAGCTACTGTTTCTTTCATTTTTTTTTTACTATATTTTGGAAGAACCCCCCTCCCCTCTCTTGTAAATTTGTGTGTCTACCTCCATTTGTTCATCTACTTTTCACATTGCATAAATCTGTTTTACTGGCTTATGATTCTACACTTTTATCTTCGAGTGTATCAAAAGTAGCAATATCAAAGATAATATTTATTAAAGACAATCACCTTTTTTTTTTCTCTCTCTTTTTTTTCTTGTTTTTCTTTTTTCTTTTCTTTTTTTCCTTTTTTTTTCTTTTTTCTTTTCTTTTTCTTTTTTTTTCTTTTTTCTTTTTCTTTTTTCTTTTTCTTTTTCTTTCAATAATTAATCGGTAGTAACCAACTATTCCACATCCCTTAACTTCCGAGTTCACATAATCTAATACTTGGTTGGAAGCAGGAGCAGATGATTTGAATTGTTTGGAAATCAATGAAATGGACATGGCAAAAGAGTCTGTAGTCTGCTTGAAAAGAATACTAAGCTGCACAAATAATAATAATCATATATATTTCAAATGATATGATTTTTGAATAGATATAGCAGTCTATATCCTTATTATCTCTACGCAAGAATTCATTGGAGAGTAGCTGTGATGCCATCATTGTATACATGTGCTCATCTTCCAAGTTCCTAAAAGGAGCTTGGATATATCTATCCTCCAAACAGAGTATTGCTGGAGATTATGATACTCACTTCTCTACAACCACAAATGAACCCACATACTTTGTTTTAGTAATGTTTGTTGCTGAAAACGAGCTCATAGGCAATGGTTCTATTCATCCTGTGTGACCAGTAAGTTGGGAAATTACCCACAGGGTATCTTTGAATAATGGATCATATCACAAACTGTTTACTGGAAATAATCACTTTTGTGACTGCCATTAGGGGACCATTTACCCCAAAATGGCCAATTCTTTCTTTATGTATTTATCAAATTTGTTTATCAAATTTATACTCTTCTATCTTGTATGTCAGAAGATTTAACACAATGAAGAAAATTATTTGCAAGAGAAGACTTAATGGGACAATTAGACCTTTATAGTTCTAGTCATAGTTTGAATATGCTCCTAGAATAGCTAATATTTTCCTTCTCTCTCTCTCTCTCTCTCTCTCTCTCTCTCTCTCTCTCTCTCTCTCTCTCTCTCTCTCTCTCTCTCTCTCTCTCTCTCTCTCTCTCTCTCTCTCTCTCTCTCTCTCTCTTCTCTCTCTTCTCTCTCTCTCTCTCTCTCTCTCTCTCTCTCTTCTCTCTCTCTCTCTTCTCTCTCTTCTTCTCTCTCTCTCTCTCTCTCTCTCTCTCTTCTCTCTCTCTCTCTCTCTCTCTCTCTCTCTCTCTCTCTTCTCTCTTCTCTCTTCTCTCTTCTCTTTCCTCCTCTCTCCTCTCTCTTTCTGTATATGAGAGACAGAGAGATAGTGTGTCTGTCAGTTTATGTCTATTCGT